TATCTTTTGTATCACTTGCCTTGCCCTCTTAGATTGTAAGTTCTTATGAGCAGGACCCTACCAACCCTCTTTAATTGATTTGATTTTCTTTATATTGTAAAGCACTGCAGAAACTGTTCTCACTATATAAATCTTGAATAATAATAAGGCAATATTTCTGTAAAATTAATTTAATTTAATTTAACATGTATTACTGGACACTACACACATTCATAACTATTACAAGGAAAAGGAATGGCTAGAAAATAGCTTTAAAGATTGCTAAACATTTTGTGTGATTTCCAGACATTCAGCCCATCAATTCATTGTACTCTTGGCTGAAATGTGTTTTTCTTTTAATTACTGGCAAAAGGTGGTGTTTGTACTCCACTCAAACAAACAGGTGGGGTTATTTTTAATCTCACAAGCAAATGTTTAGGCCATTAAATGTTTTCCTTCTTTTTAAGTTGTGATGCTACTTAGGCCTCAATATGGGGGTAAAAATTACCCTGGGAAAAGAATACAGCAGAAAAAAAATTGAATCAGCATTTAAGCTTTCAGACTTTTTTCTGTTTCTACTTTATTTATTGGTTCTTAAGGTATTTAAAACTTGAGCATTAAATGTGCAGAATGATTTGCAAATGAATGAAGTTGCAGTTGTGGAAATATAACTCACAGCTCAGTGTGGCTATTCAGACAAATGGTTGCTTTGTTTGGGCTGGTGAAGCAAAGTTCTGAGTTAATTTATTACAGACTGTGAGCATTTCATCCATGATGTCCAGGCAACAAAGTTTTTTTTTTATTTTTTTATTTCCAGTAATTTATAAGGGGCTCTTCTTTATCATGAAACTGTAGTACAAGCTTCATGCACTGTGGGAATTTGTTTTTAATAAAACCCAAGCATTTTTTATTCCTTGTCTACGAGCCATCAGTCTGTTTCAATGGCATCAATTCTTTTGTAATAAAAATGTCAGACCTGTATACATAAGGAATATGTGCATTTTAAAAGGTAGCTGTTGACTGCAAACAGTTGATGCAGCTGTTTTATGAGCTGAGCCAGTATTACTGAGGTTACTGCCTATTAGTTACCATGAAATCGGTGATGCCATTACAGAAAAAGACATGAGTTTCTAGGAAAGTGATTGCTTGAATATCTGCACAGCCCACAAAAATTTTAGGCAAGATTTCATATCACTTGGAACTATAATCTTGCTTTTTCCATGTTTTTGAGAACTACTAAAGCCAAAAATGCAACAAAATGATGTAATACTCAGTGAAAGGACATTACATATTTTATCCTCTACACATGAAATATTATTTGCCCATATATTAACATGCTGATCAATATAGTTTTCATTACTTATGAAAAAATCCTGGTATGGAATGATGTACCCTTTACAACTTGTCAATACTGATAATAGGTTCTATTTTCAAAGTTGCTTAAATTTCTATTTGCTAAAATGTGTGTCCAGAATATAATGAGAATGAAGTTCCTATGTTCAAGAAGGGCTCTAAGAAGGGAGAAGATGGCCAAGATCACTTGGGGTGCGGTGCCAGGTATACATCAGAACACTGATCATTTGCATTCCAGCCCTGTCAGAGTCAAGACATTCTTTTTTATTACGCCCTCATTTTAAGAAAAATGCAAGCAAGTTTGCAACAGTGGTATACGGTATCATTTTGTGTGAAATTGGGTAAACGTACATCAAACTTTGGAAATGGTGAGGAAAGTTTTGCAGAAGCTGTACTATCATCTGCACAAGTGTACTGATGGCACAAGGCCTTAAAGGAAGGACAAGAAGGTGTTGAAGATGAACAATGATCAGGACACCTCTTTTCATCAAAAATGGAACAGAATGTGGATGCAGTTAGGACATCATTTTGGTAGTGTGGATAATGTCCAAAGAGCCACTTCATAGGTTTTGAATGCCATCACACTTGAAGACTTCCAGGGATGCTATGAAGAATGGAAAAATCAATGGGAGTGTTGTGCACACTCACAAGGTGCAAACATTGGAGAAGACAATGTTCAATTGTAAAATTTTTCAATGAAAGATTTTTTTAAGTATCATTCTCATTACTTTCTGGGCACACCTCATATGCAGATAGTTAGACTGGTAGAAAATGTATTTATAAAGATAAATAGCAGTAAAATTTAATGCTGTGAGCTGAAGGAATATACTGAACTTGCTAGATCCAGTTCATGTGGAAGACTGTGCCGCTATCAGCTTACATCACAGAGTTGTTCCAGGCTCTGGAAGAATCCTGACCATATTGTCAAGTTCCACCTAACTGCCCAATTAACAGCTGGCTCCAGATTTCAGGGCAAGACTGAGAGCTGAAGTCATCTTCACCCATCCCCTTCAAGCCCAGTGCTCAAGTGAGCTCTACAGAGGCAGAGTGAGAACTGAGTAATCAACACTCAGCAAATGATTGCTCAATTCTCAGGTTCAGAGTCGGCAAGTGACAGCTGCAGCATCAGGCCAATACTGCAGAATGGAGATCAGTATGTATATTTGTTTTTTTTTTCTAAATACAGTATATGGCCCAATTTTTCCTTTAATGCTTAAGAATCCTTCACCTTCACCACCAGGATATGATGTAAAACTAGTGACAGATTGCATCATATATGTAGCTTTTTATTAAAAATATTATAGTTACACTTTAAGGTACATGGTTATGGAAGCTTCTTTTAGGGTCCTTGTACATAATACTGATGTATGAATGCTGAATCTTCCTGGCAGAAAGTTCCTGCCCCAAAAAATGAACATAGTCCATATAGTGTGCATGTTTGCACATGTATGTGCAGGTTTACATACGTATATGTGCTTACATGCAGAAAAATTCTTCTAGCTGGGGGCACATGTAAGGTGCAATTCAGGATGGATGCCTTCCATAGCAGCTCTGCAGCTCATGGAGACTACAGCTTGCTCCTTAGAGCTATTAGGCACCGATTTCAAGCACAGACATGTCTCACCGCTATGGGGTATTCCCATGCATGCCTACAAGCAAGAACACATGCTGACGTCCCACTCAGAGATCTCTTACAGCCTATCATCTCTGTGCAAGAAAGAGAGGGAGGATGTTTTAAAATTTCTCCCAGTGCTTTCCTGGACAAACAAACACTTCCTAGCATCCAACAGCCCTTTGAAAAGACAGGGATGGTATCCTTTGAAGGATGGCAGGGAGATAAGTGAAATAATCTAAATTATGGCAGGTTGAATTATGTATTGTATATAGTACATGTATTGGTCACATATAGGTCAGCAGTCCATTAGGACAATTATAGTCCATATACACTCTTGTGGAAAGCAGCCAACTGTCAGAGCAGAAGCAGCTTTAGGAAACAATGTGAGAAACAGGGACTCTAGGAAACAATGTGAGAAGCAGTGCTTTCTGAGTTAAGTATATAAAATAACACAGGTTTATTAGAGTTAAAATTGGCAGCTCACAAAGGTCATGGTTATGTACATGGAAAGTAGTAAGGCTTCTCAGATGGGCGCTTGTTCAGACCACTACAGGTGTTGTACTCCAGAATCGATTGGTCAAGCTGGTGGTTTCCGGGGCTCCAAGGTGTTCACAGAGCTGTTAGATGTAAGTAAGCAGAAGCAGAAAGGTGGACTGGCTGGATTGGCATATGTTTGAAGCATGCATGCTCTTTTCTTAAGTCACAGAGTGGCCATGTCTAAAATGGATACTTTATACAATAGAGAAGTGGGTGGACTACAGGGGCCAGCTGACCAGCAAAGGGCAGCAGCCCGGCAATATAACAAAAAGACTTATTCAGAAACATGCTACAACTGGCTAAAACATGTTCCAGCTCACTGCAAAAACAATACATATAATAAAGCTTACTAAAATAAAAAATGTATATATAAAAAAGCTTGCATACTTACAAAAGATTAATCACAATAAATACCAGAAGGGTGCTGATGGACACTATCAGCACACAAATAAGATATAAGTATAATTATATTCCTAAGAGAAAAATAAGAATAAATATAAAAAATTACAATATATGTTATGTATATATAATTCTGTTCGCTACTGGATGTATATGAATTTCTATATGGCTGGTGAGAGGGATAGTGTACTAGAAAAATAAAGTCAATCTTGTCTCTAAATGACAAATGGGATATACATACCCATTTTTGGTATAAAAAGGATAGCCAAAGTCCATACATAGTATATAAGCTATCAAGCGCCTATTACTGTCTACATCAGTGGTTCTCAACCTTTCTAACGCCGCGACCCCTTAATACAGTTCCTCATGTTGTGGTGACCCCCAACCATAAAATTATTTTCGTTGCTACTTCATAACTGTAATTTTGCAGTAGGAGGAATAGTGCCACGTCATTGGTGTCAGTGGGAGGAATAGTGCCCCATCATTGGTATCAGTGGGAGGAATAGTGCCCCGTCATTGGTGTCAGTGGGAGGAATAGTGCCCCCTTCATTGGTGTCAGTGGGAGGAATAGTGCCCCGTCATTGGTGTCAGTGGGAGGAATAGTGCCCCGTCATTGGTGTCAGTGGGAGGAATAGTGCCCCGTCATTGGTGTCAGTGGGAGGAATAGTGCCCCGTCATTGGTGTCAGTGGGAGGAATAGTGCCCCCTTCATTGGTGTCAGTGGGAGGACTAGTGCCCCGTCATTGGTATCAGTGGGAGGAATAGTGCCCCGTCATTGGTATCAGTGGGAGGAATAGTGCCCCGTCATTGGTGTCAGTGGGAGGAATAGTGCCCCCTTCATTGGTGTCAGTGGGAGGAATAGTGCCCCGTCATTGGTGTCAGTGGGAGGAATAGTGCCCCGTCATTGGTGTCAGTGGGAGGAATAGTGCCCCGTCATTGGTGTCAGTGGGAGGAATAGTGCCGCGTCATTGGTGTCAGTGGGAGGAATAGTGCCCCGTCATTGGTGTCAGTGGGAGGAATAGTGCCGCGTCATTGGTGTCAGTGGGAGGAATAGTGCCCCGTCATTGGTGTCAGTGGGAGGAATAGTGCCCCGTCATTGGTATCAGTGGGAGGAATAGTGCCCCGTCATTGGTGTCAGTGGGAGGAATAGTGCCCCGTCATTGGTATCAGTGGGAGGAATAGTGCCCCGTCATTGGTATCAGTGGTAGGAATAGTGCCCTGTCATTGGTGTCAGTGGGAGGAATAGTGCCTCGTCATTGGTGTCAGTGGGAGGAATAGTGCCCCATCATTGGTATCAGTGGGAGGAATAGTGCCTCATCATTGGTATCAGTGGGAGGAGGAATAGTGCCCCATCATTGGTATCAGTGGGAGGAGGAATAGTGCCCCATCATTGGTATCAGTGGGAGGAGGAATAGTGCCCCATCATTGGTATCAGTGGGAGGAATAGTGCCCCATCATTGGTGTCAGTGGGAGGAATAGTGCCCCATCATTGGTATCAGTGGGAGGAATAGTGCCCCATCATTGGTATCAGTGGGAGGAATAGTGCCCCATCATTGGTGTCAGTGTGAGGAATAGTGTCCCATCATTGGTGTCAGTGGGAGGAATAGTGCCCCATCATTGGTATCAGTGGGAGGAATAGAGTCCCATCATTGGTGTCAGTGTGAGGAATAGTGCCCCATCATTGGTATCAGTGGGAGGAGGAATAGTGCCCCGTCATAGGTGTCAGTGGGAGGAGGAATAGTGCCCCGTCATTGGTGTCAGTGGGGGGGAGGAATAGTGCCCCGTCATAGGTGTCAGTGGGGGGAGGAATAGTGCCCCGTCATAGGTGTCAGTGGGGGGAATAGTGCCCCGTCATTGGTATCAGTGGTAGGAATAGTGCCCCATCATTGGTGTCAGTGGGAGGAATAGTGCCCCGTCATTGGTGTCAGTGGGAGGAATAGTGCCCCGTCATTGGTGTCAGTGGGAGGAATAGTGCCTCATCATTGGTATCAGTGGGAGGAATAGTGCCTCATCATCGGTATCAGTGGGAGGAATAGTGCCCCATCATAGGTGTCAGTGGGAGGAGGAATAGTGCCCCATCATAGGTGTCAGTGGGGGGAATAGTGCCCCATCATTGGTGTCAGTGGGGGGAATAGTGCCCCATCATTGGTATCAGTGGGGGGAGGAATAGTGCCCCATCCTTGGTGTCAGTGGGGGGAGGAATAGTGCCCCATCCTTGGTGTCAGTGGGGGGAGGAATAGTGCCCCATCATAGGTGTCAGTGGGGGGAATAGTGCCCCATCATTGGTGTCAGTGGGGGGAGGAATAGTGCCCCATCATTGGTGTCAGTGGGGGGAGGAATAGTGCTCCATCCTTGGTGTCAGTGGGGGGAGGAATCGTGCCCCATCCTTGGTGTCAGTGGGGGAGGAATAGTGCCTCATTGTTGGTGTCAGTGGGGGGAGGAATAGTGCCCCATCGTTGGTGTCATTTGGGGGAGGAATAGTGCCCCATCGTTGGTGTCAGTGGGAGGAATAGTGCCCCATCATTGGTGTCAGTGGGAGGAATAGTGCCCCATCATTGGTATTATTGACACCAATGATGGGGCACTATTCCCACTGACACCAGTGATACTTACCTTGCAGACCCCTGCTCCAGCCTGGGCTCGCTCCCTCCCTCCCTCTCCCATGGTACCGACACTTACCTGTCAGCTGTCTTCCTTCTCCGGCCGCTCTCCTCCTCTTCACTCGCTCGATCTTCGCGGTGCCGCTCGGCCCCTCCTCTCCAAGCTCCACCTCCTTGCCGGTGATTGGCCGCCTGTGTGCCTGAGCTACAGTGCCGGCGGCCAATCACAGGCGAGGATTGATCTCGAGGTGTGTCCAGATGACAGGGGCGGCATGTCATCCCGCCCACACCTGGAGACGGCGGTGGCGGCGGCGGCGAGGAGCGGTGTCTCGGTTCCTAAGACCATCGGAAATATGTGTTTTCCGATGGTCTTAGGCGACCCCTGTGGAAGCGTCGTTCGACCCCCAAAGGGGTCGCGACCCCCAGGTTGAGAACCGCTGGTCTACATCTACCTGGATGGAACAATAGGTGTAATACAAGACTGGCATCTCTGGAATAGATTGTTATCAAAAAGAGAATATTATTATTATTATTATACAGTATTTATATAGCGCCAACAGTTTGCTCAGCGTTGTACATTATAATGGGAGACAGTACATGAGACAGCACAGTAACAATACAATACAATACACGAGGGGTTCGAGGGCCCTGCTCCTTGGAGCTTACAATCTAGGAGAATATGAAGGTGCTTATGGAATAGAAAGAAAATCCAGAACCTCCCTTGGGTTACCTGTATCTAAAGTAAGACACTTCTAGAGCCTATTGTTACATAAGCCTAGATAGAGCTAATGGGTATGATTATAATATAAAAGTAACAAAAACAGGGAGATAATCTGACATCACTGAAGTGTATTGTTGTCAGAGATCTGACAAAATCTTATAAGATGGAATGGACCTTCAAGTCCTTGTTTAGACCATCTAGTGCCAAAGCATCAAGTGTGTAAATCCAATAAGTCTCCCTTTTGCAGAGCCGTCTAAAACTCTATGCTCTGGAGAGACTCCTGGAAATGCACTATATTACCTAAACCTGAAGGTCAGAAGTGGATTTGTGGTAGAAGTCTAGAACAGCCTTTTTCAACCAGGGGGTCCAGGCACCCTGGGGTGCTTTCAGGTTTCTTCAGAGGTGCCTTGGTAAAATGCCTAAAAATTGTATACAGTCTATCAGATGGATCAAGCCTGCCTTTTAGTTACACAAATTCACAGGCTTTCATTGTTCACCATTACAAGCTTCTAGCCCCTGGCATCCTAACAACCAATGACGTCTTTGGTTGATAAGGAGGACATTAAGCACCTGCACAGCATCCTTGTTCACTCCTCTCTTGCCCCTCTCCATCAGCACTGTGGTCACGTTAGCTGAGAGAGAGAGAGAAACTGAGGGAAACAGAGAAACATTGGAATGCTAGTCAGCACCAGTATGCAAAGGTTTATTTCCTTTGGAAAAATAAATTACTTCTAACGTTGGGTGTTCTATGTGTGTGGATTCTGCTGCACTATACAAATTGATTGATTAGTTTAGTTTTTTTTCCATTTTAGAATGGGGTGCCTTGACTAAAAAAGGTTTAGAAACACTGGTCTAGAAAAAGTTTTGGAACACTGAGTGTGTCGATGACATCTTCAACTGACCTTCTTTGTTCACCTAACCTCTTTCCTAAAGCTCTAATTATACACCTCATGTACAATAGGCCACAGGGACAGGAGAGGCAATATATGACTAACTCGGAGGAACTGTTGTAAAATTCCTTTAACATGTACGTCTTGCATTTGGTGGGGAAACATTTTTGTCCATGCTGCACATGTTTGCACGTTAGGCATTTTGGTTTCTGACATTGGTACATCCCTTTGATGGTAAGGAAGTTCAGCTTGGGGCATCTAGGTTTTTCTAGGGATTTGATTTTACTGGGGGCATATTTTCTTTTTACATTTTGTGCGTTCCTATAGGAAATTTTGGAAGCATCAGTTATGGAGGACCTTCGATGGGGGTCTTCTAAAAGTATACGCCAGTGTTTTTGGAAGATCTTCTCCATCTTGTGTTGAGTATGGAATTGGGTTGTGAACCTAAATGGTTGGGGTTGGTTGTTTCGACTTTGTTTAATATGATTGTGATTATGGTAATTCAGATAAACAGTAAAAGCATCCTGTACTATATTAGAAGGATATCCTAGCTTATAAAATTTTTGTTTAAGCAGGTTACCATGGGAGGTGTAATCTTCACCACAAGAACAACTGTGTTGAAGCCTGCAAAATTGGCTCTTAGGGATATTGGCCACCCACCTGGTGGTGGCAACACTGGATTTGGAGGAAGGAATTGCCAGCTGTAGGCTTGACATAATTTTTTGCATTGATATCCCGATCTGTGTGGCATAGTTCTAAGTCAAGGAAGGGTAAGCTATCAGGATCACGTACACGAGTGAAAGAGAGGCCCAGGTCATTGGAGTTGCAGTATGACATATATGTATCAACCAATTGAGTATGGGCCACACTATGATATCATCTATATGAGGTGGTATCAAAAAGTTTTGAGACTAGTTTTGTAACATGACAACAGATTGCAGCACAAGGCTGCATGCAAAGTCACAGGGAGCACCATCCTTCATAAGTCAGTGTGCCAAAAGACATTGTCCTGTGCACACCGGGAGCTGTGCAACTGGTGCTATTCTGACTATGTGCATTACCACGTCTGCTATTTCATCATGGACAGCAAGTTAGAACAAAGAGAAAATGTGAAATTCTGCTTGAGACCCATACACCCAATTTTCATCAGCGGTAATGATCCTTTTTTCATGAAGGACAGGTTATCCACAGCACACTGATGGAGTTCTTGGCAAACTTCGAAACAGTTTTCTTTCTGCTTCTGTATCAGCAGCCAGGTGACAAACATGGCAGCAACAGGCCGCATGTTCAAATAACACGTGAAGATTGCCTGGGCTGTTCATATGACACACCAATAATGGCAGCAATGTTGTGGATTGTGCTCTGACAGTCATCATGCACAAGTTGCCAAATGATTTGATATATATATTGTATGCAGGTAGGTTTGATCCAAAGGTTGCTGGAAATGGTCAATATAGATGGAAAAGAAACTAGTAATGCTATCCATAGCAGCAACTATGAGGCGTCCTGTGCTTTTATAAATCTTAGGCAGGTGGTAGAAGTTAGGTGTACTATAATAGTCTCTTTTGGGAAAATAAACTTCTGTTTTAGTGATTATAACTTCACCAAATTCCTTAATGACCAGTTGACATGCTTCATCACTGAATTGGGTCAGTGGATCATGGTGAAGTCGAGTATAGGTGTTGAAGTCAGAGAGGAGTCTGTTGGCTGCTTCAAGTAGCTGCTCCTATCCTGTATGACTATCCTTCCACCCATTCCAGCCATTTTAAAACCAATGTCCAGGTTGATGGATAAGTTGTTTAGTGATTGTTTCTGTCAGGTTAGAATGAATGGTGGACAAAGTAAAAGTGGAATTGCACATCCGTAATATATTTAAATAAACTAAATAAATAAAATAAATAGAAAGGTAGAAGCTCTGAATGTATGGTCCTTTAAAGTGTGTAGGGTTAGTTTGGATGGAAAGACCGATTTTGGATGGAAACCAATATGCTGTATAGGAAGGGAGTTGGGAAGATGTTACGTAAGTAGCCGCATGAGATAATCTTCATCGTGATCCATATATAGATCTTTCAAATGGGCCAAACCTGTGGTACCTAATATGTCGTCATCTATGGAAGCATCCACAGTGATGTCAGAGGTAGAGTCAGAGGTCAAATTATCCTTAGCTGCCTGGATGTTAAAGTACAGGGTCATGTCTTCTAAAAGTATACTCCTGTGTTTTTGGAAGAAAATCTTGTTGTGTTGAGTATGAAATTGGGTCATGAGCCTAAATGGTTGGGGTTGGTTGTTTCGAATTTGTTTAATTCGACTGATTTTGGTCATTCAAATAAACAGTAAAAGCATCCTGTGCTATATTAGAAGGTTACCCTTTTTCATAAAAGTTTTGTTTAAGCAGG